CACAGGTTTCCTCAAACTCTCGTAGGTGAGTACATGGGTTTTTATCACCTTCTCCTAAGAACGATTGTTCCTGGACCAAATTTATTAAACTCAGACGCAACTCATAGCTAGATGTAAGGATAGGTTTCGAAGATTTTGGTGGCTCTAGTTGTGTGCCCGTGGGATCAGCGAATTGATTGATAGGCATGATATTATCCATGCTTAAAGATAAATAAAATAAAAGATATAAGGACAAACTTGGTTTGACGAAATCACAGCAACCGTTTCCCCAGCAACGGCGCTAGAAAATTTGTTGACGCCTGTGGTGGCACACAGAGACAAAATCCACAAGCACATGGGTATCGAAGTAGTTTTCACCCAGAGTATTATCGAGTATCATATCCAAAAGCATCTAGGCCTCTAGTTGGGTTTCGATGATTAATGACAATACATGATTACTATGACTAACGTGTGTTTTACAGAGGCAATTAAGTTAGGTCACGGTAATGGAGATCGATTGGGCTATCATGGTGGTCATGCCCCTACGATGGAAATCGTTTCGGTTTTCAAAGGATGTACGACAAGGTTAAGGATGGACTAGTTCTAAGTATTGTTTGGTGTTGAAGAGACACTTAGAGTAGTTTAGGACTTTGTTTTTCCTTTGGCCATACTATTAAGGGGGGTATGGACGGGTAGCTTGACCTAGGTGAGTCTAGTGGGTTAGGTGTGGTGCACACTTGCTAAAACTAGCGCTAGGTAGCTCCTAAATAGCCCTTAGATCCAATGGAGAAACTTCATTCACATATGATCGAGAGTTGGAAGTGAATGGAGGGTCAAATACTGACCGGACGCTAGCTCCGGTGTGACTGGACGCTGGCTCAGAGTCCGGTCAGTTCATTTGACCAAGGTGATTTCATCTAGCATGACCGGACAATGAGAGGTCAAGTGACCGAGACGCTGGCCCTCAGCGTCCGATCGTTTCCAGTAAGGTTTCAGAGAGGGAAAATCATGACCAGACGCGTCCGGTCACACTTTAAACACTGGAGATCGGGGTGAACTGACCGGAGCGTCCGGTCACCCCACAGAGGCACATAACGGTTTATTTTTCAACCCATGTTATAAATACTTCCTTCATTCGTGTGAGGGGGTACTTTTGCTCATTCCAACAGTTGAGAAACACCTTTGAGAGTGCCAAGAAGAGCAAGGTCCTAGTGAAGTGATTGAGATATGAGAATCCCAAAGAGAGCCCTCATTAGTGAGATTAAGAGTAGCAAAGTGTGCATCCACCCTTCTCATTAGACTTGTCATGGTCAAGTGAGAGTCCGTGATTGTTACTCTTGGTGATCGCCATCACCTAGACAGCTTGGTGGTGATTGGGAGCTTGGTGATCATCCGGTGGAACTTGTGGATGACCCAACTCAAGTTGTGAGCGGTTGTGGGTGATTCACCGTGACGGAGTGTCGAAGAATCAACCCGTAGAGAGCACTTGATCCTTGCGTGGATCAAGGGGGAGCTACACCCTTGCGCGGGTGCTCCAACGAGGACTAGTGGGGAGTGGTGACTCTGCGATACCTCAGCAAAACATCACCGCGTTCCTCCTCTCTTTACTTTGAGCAATTCAATTCTTGTCATTTATATTCATAGAATTACCATGCTAGAGTAGGATTGGAACTTATGTTGCTAAACTTTTGTGCGTTAGATCAATCGAAACACTTTCTAGGCACAAGGGGTTAATTGGGCAAACCGTAGGGTTTAATTATTGAAAGAAATTTAGAATTATCCCAATTCACCATCCCTCTTAGGCATCTTGATCCTTTCAATATCCACGGGAAAACGTATGTGTTGTCTAACAACTAATTTGTCCAGGAATAGCAATCAAGGTTTAAGGTATGAGTAGAGAGGATTCCTATGGTTATAACCCTATGCAAAGCAAGGTTTATGATTCTAGTGTTCATTTCGGGATGCCGCTTAGACGGTAAAGCACCACTAATAGATAACTCTACCGACGTGACTACGGTCCTACTAATTTAACAACCTACTCAATTCGGGGTGGACTACAAAGGATAGACGGGGCTGTCACCTCCCACTGCTACCACACAACCAAGAAACAGGGAGCAAACATAGGTAGCCGATAGCCTATGCACCATGCTTATGCTAACGATTACTACTCTATTCTAGTGATCTAACAAGGACTAGAGCACTCAAAAGAACTATAAACCTGTGAACAAAAGAGCACAAAACTTACTTTAAACAGAAATCAATTACCAGAGGTATCTCAGATGTAGACTTGGAGAAACCTAGATCCGCTAAAGTACAAGTTGTAGAGGTAGCACCGACAGGCCGGTACCTCCTCCCAACTCCTCCATCACTCTCTAACTCACTATTTTCTAGGTATAAGACTAGATCCTATAGAGGACTAATCTTCTCTTGAGAGCTGGCTCTGATCCTCACGAGGAGGATATGAATTAGGGTTTCAGGATGATCTCTAGGAGGGGGTACAGAGCCATATATATAGGGAGTAGCGTCAATCAAACCGACTTTAATAAACAACATAGATGCGATCTTTAAGGCGGTGGAGAACCGACATTCGAAGGGGACGCTGACATGTGGGTCCCACAGGCCGGCCGGTTGGCCCCCCTTTCAGCGTCTTGGCCCGATCTACGGTGGAGAGTCTTCCAATGTCTTCTAGAGTATTCCCATGTAGGTACCGTCGCGGAAAACCGTGATTTACTTTGACGAATAGGTCCAGCTTGACGGTTCCTGAATAAATCCTGCTGAAAACATAGATTCACCAAAACTCGTGGAATTTATTAGTTTAAACCCCTATACCTGTGTTGGTGATCATTTTTATGCATTTATACAAGTTATGTTGACGGTTTATGATTGAAGTTAACGACCGTCAACAAGCACTGAGTCGGTCCGAGTCGTTCCATGGGCGGGTCCGTCTGAACGGAACTGACGTCCGATAGGGAGAATTACGGTTTGTTATTGGGTCATACTTAGATTTGCTCGGATAGGTTGTAATTATTTTTATTTAATTGTGCCAGGACATGGTAAGGTGGCCTATCGTCGGGCTGGAAAGGTTGGGACAAATTATTTCAAGAGATTAAACTCTATGCTTTTGTTATTTCGGTCATTTGCTACAGCTAGATGTAATTATTTTATATAACTAGATATATGCCCGTGCATCGTGACTCTAACTCAAGACATCTGGTCCTAGTAGGATATAATATGAAAAAAACAGAGTAATTTTTTTAGGAAGAATATAGTATTTGAGGTCTACACAGAAAGCACCGACCCTAGATGGATTTGTCACTAGCTAGATCGCGGAAGCGATCGACCACTGAGAGGCGAGGTAGTGGGGTGGGTTATTGGAAAGGGCAAGCTAAGCAACTTTGTCTTTGTGTAGCTAGGCTAACTTAACTTTTGTCATAGACGATGTTCACTACCATATCTAGTATCTTCGTCGTTTGACTATAGCTCAGCACCCTTACTACTCTAATTTGGATAGTGGGAGAAATTATAACATACTGGCACTCCCGGTCAGATGATAGTCCCCAATTGCATGCATGCGTGGATCGGATGATGTTTCTCATTTGTCTGTGAATATGAGGGTGCGCTGTCTCCCTTTCCTGTCCCGTCTCGTCTTCGTTTCTTTTTTCCCTTTTGATGTTGGAAAGCAAAGTGCACTCTGACTGATACTGCATAATTAATCTCACTAGCAGGTACTCCCTCCATCCCAAATTATAAGTCCCAAATTATAAGTCATTCCAAAAATCTTGGAGAGTAAAAGTATCTCAAGTTTGACCAAAATTATAGAGAGAGTTACAAAGATTTATGATATCAGATAGGTATACTATGAAAATATAATTAATAATGAATATAATGGTACTTAGTTGACATCATAAATGTTATTATCTTATCGTATAAATTTATTCAAACTTGAGATGCTTTGACTCTCCAAGATTCTTGAAATGACTTATAATTTGGGATGGAAGAAGTAGCAACCAAAAATTAAAGGTCAAGTAGATCTACATGAAAGGCCTCGCAAGACAATTAAAAAGAAGATTCTGTAAAGTAATTAGGTCGATCATCATATTGCCATGAAACTGGTAGACACGTCTGTGTCAGCTGTTAGGTAAAAGTCTCTATTCGAAAACTTGCATTGTCCACCTGGGTTTAAGACGATCCCAAACTTAGTACAAGTGTTTTATATTTTCGATTAACTATACTTAAAGTCATAGCAACATGCTCTCTCCATAATAAGGAACACTGAGCTAAAGTGCGTGTATGTAAGCATGTGTTCTGTGTTTTGTTTTTTTTTTAAGATAAAAAAATGCTAGTAATTGTCGTACCAATCACTCACAATATTCAATAACCAACGGCGTTGCAAACCCATGATAATCTTGGCTTGCAAACTTAACGGAGGTTTCACGTGTCAACGGTTTTGATCACGCGCGTTCTGGAATGTGGAATCTTAGCATGAGTGCCGTGTTTCCAGGCTAGGAAATAGGAATTGCTGCTGTCTGACAGGCTGAGGCCCTGAGCGGTTGCTTACTAGCGCCACGGGCCCCGGTGGGGTTGTTGGGTTGGGTCAGCACTGAGCACTCAGCAGTGCGCGTGGGCCGGCGAGTTTGCTTCTGCTCTGCTCTTCTGTGGACGACCGCACACATGCCAACACAAGAGGAGCTAACCAAGCCACTCTAATCGTTTGTTTGTTTTGACTCTGTACTGTATGTACACTACAGCTACAGGTTTATTTTCATCTTATCAATCACCGACAAGATTTTCATACCACAGACTGACTGAAGAACCTCAACCACCTTTGATAGGACTACATTGCCACACGTGTATCGCGCTCGCGCGTATCGGTAAATTCAGTAACGCTAACGTGAAGTAAAGATAACCAAGTCTTTCAGTTTCAAACCACCACAAAACACTAACAGGACCTCTTCACAATAAGTTTACTGATACAGAATCAAACCGATGCGCGGTAAAAGTAAAATAAATGGCTGACTGAGCTATTTCGCCCTTGCAAACGCCAAATCCAGAAGAGTGCGGAAAAACTTGTGGGGGTACACGGGCGGTTCCTCTGCGAGTGCCTGCGATTCATTGCCACCATACATTATCATAATGTAAGTTTTTTTTTTTTTTTCAAGTGCTGCTGCTGCTGCTGCTGCTGCTGCCACAGCAACAACAACAATGGGCAGATAATGCAGTTTTTCAGTGAGCCAGCCAGAGCTAGCCCTTAGCTTACTTGGTGGATCAGCACGGTGGATGGAGTCATCCCAGGTACAGTGTTGACTTCGATCAGCAGCACCTGCATGCAGGACCAAGCATTGGGAACGAGGCGGCTAACTTACTACCACAATATCACAACTAGGGGTAATAATTATCATCTTCATTTGAGCACAACATTTCACATTCATACCTCCCCGCTTCGCACGTTGACAAATGCATCAATGCGCGAGAAGCCTTCCAAACCTAGAGCGTTTGCCATGATCTCGATACTCTTCTTGCACCTCTGCAGAGCATCCTCGCTACAAAAGGCAAGCCAAAAGATATGCTCACAAATGATACTAGTAAAGCATGATGCTGAGATGAATCAGGGGGCAGCTGGTGTGGTGACGCCGGCAAAAACAGAACCGACATGTGAGTAAGCTTCTACAATCTAGATTCTGTCCAGTTGAAAATTCTACTGTTATTTAAAAGAAAAAGGGAAAACTGGGAATAGTCATAAATAAGTACCCCATAATTGTTGCAGGAGGTGGTGTCAAGTTGATTCCAGTGCCACCTGAAAAAAAAAACACCTCAATCATGTTATGAGAAAAATGGCTTAGAGGGCCCAGCGATAAAACTTAAACGTATATAAGCTAGGACAGACACCATTAGCCATATTGTGTTCGGTGTAATAAAGATATGGAGAAGGCACACACGATGTTCTACAAGAAATTGTTTTCCCTCATCTGTCCCAAGTTAAAGTTCACCTCAATGGAATATTGCATTTCCATGCCATGCCAACAACTATTTAAACAAAATATCAAAAGACACTCACAATAGCAACTCCTGGTACAACTTTATTTGTGAGATCATAAATAAATAAGGAAAATAGTACAGACTACAAAGCATGCATGATACTTACCTTGAAATTTCTCCTCAAGAGATAAAATATCACCACTTTCTTTCACTGTGATACTTGGATTTAACGAGTGCATTTCTCCACGCTTGCCAACTACACCAACAGTTATTTCAAGCCAGTCATTTTCACCCTTCCATACCAGATGACGGGCACTACCATTCTCCAATTTATTTGAAATGATAATTTCATCCGTTTCAATAAAAGGCTCAAATATTAGTGACTCTGGAGGAGGGACTGGCATCTCAATTACGCCATGTGCCTATAAAATATAGCTTAGTGTTAAAAGTATATCTGACCACTGGTAGACATAGTTCCTCGATTGGCACAAAAACATGGTTAGGTTATCTTTGGTACCCTGGACAGACAATTAGCAGGCAGATGCTGAAACTTCCTCCTCAATGCATTTGTATAGACTTCTAGGTCCTTTGGACAGCTGAAAATAGATAGTGTTTTCTTAATGATCCATGCATAAAACAAAGACGAGATACATCACCGTTAAATAACTAAAACACTGGACTAGAGTTAGGTAACTTCTTACCACAATCTTGCTACACCAGTCGAGCACCCATCACGAGCTGGTTTCACACATACTGTCTCTGTTTGTAGTTTTGCTTTAAGTTCATTCCAGATATCAACAAGAGATGACTTCAGGACTTCTTCTGTTGCTCTTACATCCTTTGGAATGGTACGGACTCCATAACTAGCAAGCTACACAAGTACCACAAATACTGTTAACTTCTTTGGCATGGTCACAGTGGACAGAATTTTTCAGTGAGCAAATGTTGTGTTACTAACAAATTGATTTAAGTTGTTTGTGTCATAGTGACATCATGGAATATCATTCTATATTCATGCTAGGAAATCAATATTTAAATACCCATAGGAACCCGTAAAAGAGTAAAAGTTACAAAAGGTTCATACATGGTCAACAGCAAGTGAACTTGCAACTTTGTCAATGCATGTTCTAGAAGCTATTGGTCCTGGTCCTGCATGACAAGAGCGTTTACATTCTTTAGTCTGGCCACATACAAATACTCTATATATATAAGCTAAAAGTGAACCTGTGTAAGGAACTCCTGCAGATTCCAACAATGTCTGAATGGTACCATCCTCTCCAATGCCACCATGCACTACATATAACACACAAGACATGAACACCTAAGAAAAAAAGAAACAGTAAGGAACAGATGTATATTATAAATGCAACAGTCAGGCGAAAGGCTCTCCATCTGGAATAGTGTCATTACTAATTATATGTTTGGTTTAATTTAAGAAAATGAGTAATATGATTGAATAATTGGCGCTTGACAGAGTCCATTGATTCCGGAAATATTACATGCAATGCATTTCTGATCGTATTGTTTTGCAATAGTTGGAACATTATACATTAAGCGTGCATAGAAGTTCGACTAGATTAGTATGATTTTGGAAAAATACCTGCTATAAAGACTACAGCTTCAGTTTCTTTTACATGGTTGATCCACTCTTGTAGAGAGTATTTGATAGGTTGTTCATAAGCAATGTCAAAGCCCGCAAACCAATCATGTTTGCTCAATGCTGGCCCAAGTTCATTCATTATTTGATCACGCAAACGTTTTGTTATTTTAACTCGTTCTGGCTCAGTCGCCTCAACACATGCAGCATGAACTTCTTCAGTGGTATGTCGTAACACTAATGAATATCTGCCACATAGAGTACGCCAAGTTTAGTCATTTTACCAAGTAAATGTTACGGTGCATAACTACAATATTATCCACAAGATCCAATGAGATGCAACACTTACGGCAACGTCCAAACTTCTCTTGAACTGTCACTGAAATCTTGATCATGGGAGGAGAAATATCCATTTGCAGGAGCAAGCAAACACGGTGTCACGTCAAGCTGAAAGCAACAGAAGTGAAAAGAATCTAAAATATCGATGCATGAAAATAGAACATAGCTACGTAGACAACAAACATGGTATCATACCATATCAAGCTTAAAGCATGGTATGGTATGGCATACAGTTTCAAGCAACAAATTCTAGACCAACATGGCCAGAAATTTTATAAACACAATGCGGAAGCACCAAGAAATGAGAATAGAAACACAATGAATATGCAAAGTCAAATATTTGAAAGCAAGGGATCTCACATCATTAAAACCTTGGAGATTAAGCCAGACATTGGTGCCACTCATAAGTGATACTTGCCGCTCTGAAGTGTCCCCTCCGAAGATAACAAAAACCTTCTGTCTTGATGTACCTTTGTGGATTGCTTCTACTTGTTTGGATGGTTGTAGTTTTCTGGACAAAGTGGTCCAAGCATTATTGCATGGAACAAGAGAAGGGAATCGCGAGCAAGCATGCTGAACAACTGTACGAAGGATTCGAGAGTGAGAGAACCCAACCTGAAAAGTGTTGTTTTTCGTTCTGAAGTTAGTAACGAAATTAAGCATTATGAGCACAAAAGTATCTGCATGATACTTACTTTATGTAACAGCATGATAATGAGTATAAAAAACCTTTAGCAAAACTAATTTTTTTTAGAAAGGACAGCAAAAGCTTTGCCGCAATTTCTATTAGACGAAGAAAGAAAAAAAGAGCAAGCATCCCGCCCAGTTTTTTGGATGGAAACTGGGCCCAAAAACCATACAACTGAGGAGAGTACACCACTCATCCTACTCAACTTTGGTAGCATATCATACCAAAATACAAATATCCTCAATGGTTGACAGTTTGAAGAAAAGATGCACAGATATCATGTATGCTATTTAAATAAGAATTTCTCCAGAATCAGAAACGCCAAATTACAATGTGTGATGCCATATTATTATTACCGCTGAAGCTTGTTGGAACAAAAAGCTGGTTTGCTCCATCCCACTTATCTGTTACAGAGAATACAACAGGTATCATGCACTAGAAACTGCAAGACATGATCCAAACTTGAGAACAAAGAGAACCAAGAGTATGCTTACCAAATTAATATCCGTGAAAAGAACAGTTCCATACTTGGTATTTCCAAATTTTTCACTATTTTCAGCTGAGGGTAAAGAAGCAACAGAAGAAGGTAAAAACCAACCATCTATCCTTGCATAGTCGTGCAGGCCAAGGCGACGAAATAAAAGAGAAATTCCTTGTCTTATACAATCGATCACCTCTGCTGGAAAACGTGGAGGCGAATGATAAGCAACCTGGGAAGAGATCAATGAATGCTTGAATTGATTCTTGTGTAAGAAAACCAGGCTTGTGAAAAAATGGAGTTATTTGAACGAGGCCTTGTCACAGGAAGTTCTATAAGTTTGTTTCAAATGAGTCAGAAGGACTTAAGAAGCAGAGATCAACAGAAAGGAACCGATAGTTTTGCACAAATGACCCCTGAAACTTGTATTTTAGTCTGGGCTATATACCTGTCGACTTGGAAGGTACTTCTTGCGGTAGTTAAATATTGTGTCCTCCTTGGTATCACTATTGTTGGAGTACTGAAGCTCAACCTGCAAAAGGGAAAGGAAAATAAAATAGGTTAATTCAGGCTCTCTAACACATTTAATTTAAACTTACCAATAGATAACAGCATATTTCTTTTGTCCTAAAAGGACCATCCAGAATATTTGGTCAAGTTGTTACAATGTCTCCAGCATGACAGAATAAGAGAATAAGCAAACAAAGATGTATCATACTTCTGTTGGAAGCAGAACGACAGGCTCACTGTTGTTAGCAGTCCCAACATCAACCACAATGGCTGTAAACTCAGTGCCCCCTTCAAGGAAAACCTCTATGATAACTTTATCATCAATTCCCTGTCAATCAGCATAGGATTTCAGGTCTCAAAATATTACTGTGTTTAACTTGAATGATTCCAGAAGTATAGTAGAAAGTATTCTGCACCTCTGAAATAATTTCCTCAGCTTTCTGGGCAGCGTCATTCACACCATAAGCAACAACCACGCCAATGCTTGACCCAGCCCTTGTAGGTTTGACCTGTGCAAAGCACATCAGAAGTTACCCCTTCACCAATCCAACCCTGAAAACAATCTTTAAAGTAAAACACTATCACTTACAATCACTTTGCCATTTTCTTTGTTCAGATTGATGGTTTGGAACCATGCCTCTAACTCCAGCTTAGCCAACTTGTCCTTCTGCTGTGTCATAGACACAATTGCAAGATACAGGATCAGGTCACCAAAGAAGAGCATCGGAATTAGTAACCACACTCCCAATTTTTCTTAGCTACTGTGGTAATATTGTGACAGACAAGAAAATCTTTTTTTCCTTTTTCCAAGTATTAATTAAGATTCAGTCCACTGGATGAGGCAGAATAATTAAACCAAAACTTATTTTCAGATATATGTAGCAGAAAAAAGCATAGTGCCAAAGATTCAACAATTTTGACTCTCAATGCCTGTTTTTCAACAAAATTACATATTATGCTCATTAATAAAGATAAAGATAAAGATAGTGCATATCACATTGAGGGCACTATGAAATGACAAACAAGCCTTACCTCCACAAGAAAGTTTGGCACTGTTAAGAAACCTTGTGCATTGAGCTCAAGCGACGCATTATGCTGCAGCCATGTTCAAGACTAAAATAAGGAACTGGATAAATGGATCCGCTGACATTAAATGAAATTACAAGTTACAATAGCGAAAACACAAGATATTGATGCACACATCACATTTCACATAGCATCTTTAGAAGATTGTACATTGTAGCAATACTTTCAACCTGCTCACTGGATAACATTTCATAAACTCCACTTGCTCAATACATGGAACATTTTGTCCTAGTAAGTTCCACAATATCCATAATCAGCAAACAAGTTTCACGGATAATACTAGAACACTTTCCCATCATTTCAGAAAAAAGCTGGGTATGGTACTCAATAGTGGGCTTGCATACCTCCTCTTATCTTAATGAAAAACGTGCCATGGCACGGTCACGAAAAAAAATAGTGGGCTTGCATCCAAGTATGCAATTACATAGAAGGACGGTAGGGAGAAGTTGATGACATATCTTGTCAAGAGCAATCTTGAAAGAAACATACAATGTACCTTGTCAAAAGCACGCCGGCATTCCTTAGAGGGTGTCCCAACAAATGGAACATTTGCTTTCTCCAAAAGCTCCTGAATATTTCAAAGCGATTGTGAACGTATGGATGTCAGACCCACACATATTAAGTAAACAGGTGAGTGTGTAAACAGCGGTCAACTAAGAGTCATTCAAACACTATAGCTAGTGCAATGGCAAGTGAAACGTATAATCAACAAGCACGAATCGATATCTTTTCCTTGTAAACCAGATTTCACTGGTAAGAACAAACCTGAATGCCACCATCTTCACCAAATTTCCCATGGATCACTGGGAAGACAATGTCAACATTGGTGGCAAGATGCTCCGCAAAGTCAGATAGGGAGTCAAATCCTTGGGCTAAACTGCAGAAGTGAAGCTTCAAAATGAAAAAATTGGAATGGTAATGTTAGCAAGGAACAAAAATCAGCTGTTGACTGGTTTACCTTTCAAGTTTGAAATCAAAATCCGAAGGCGTGTTGGAATATAGCTGTGGGGCAAAACATGTGAAACAGTTATTTTACTCTGATTGAATATGAGTTCATAAAGTAGGAACTAGCAACCGAAGTACATGTCTCAAACAACTTTATAAAGGATAAAAGGCTTTGCCATTGCCAAGCTTCAGCAGAACAGAACATGAAACTGTTAACCCAAATTCGACCAAGGGAACCTTTGTCTTATTACACTATTACAGTATATTGAAGTGGGCTCGAATAAATGTAACCCTCACCAGTGGAGGTACATAAATCCATATAGGCTGAGCACCCTGGCATGACACAAAGCTTGAGCTGGCCACAGGAAGTTGTAAAGCTAAGAAAAGTTGAGGCAATTGTGTTGCTAAGCTGAGCAGAGCTTGATTCCTCGATCAGGGATTCAGGGTCTTCTATAAACAATAACAAACCAAGCAACTAGGGGGAGTTGCTATAGAAAAAATAGTGCGTGACCAACTCAATTAAAAAATGGCACAGACAGGACAACCACCAGAGTATATTCAGCTTACATATAGATATTATAGTATTAACAAACAAGAGATTCCGAGTACATGAGGTCACCTGCGCAGGAGAAATTGCGAAGGCCTTCATGGCACAATCAATGTAGTAGCAGCGGACGACCAAATCCTCTCCCTGTATCGGACCATGACAATTACTATATATCATCAGCATTCAGCAAGGAAGTGACTGACTGACTGACTGACTGGCACTTCCCACATTCATCAAGGGGAGAAAAATACTAAGCAAGGAACACGAGCGACGAGACAGCACACAGGCGCGAATGGTGATGGTGCACACTATACAGACCGCATGCAGTTCAACGTACTACTACTTGTTCCTAGCAGAAATGATGAGTGAGCTCAGGATGGATTCCTGGCGGGCGGCGCAGACCCGGAGCCAACACGCAGTGAATTAAGTCAAAGCAGAGCACACTAGTGTGATAGTGTCACAGAAAATGTAGTGTAGTTCAAAAGTCAAAGCAGCGGCAGCTCCAATTCAAATTCCCAGTAACGCGTCGCTATGTATCCGGTCAAATTCAAACCCGCGCGCCACGAACGGCAACGGTATCAGACTATCAGTATGAAGAACAAGCGAGGCGAAACAGACGCGTGCAATACCTGGATGTGATCCAGCACCGAGCGCGCGGAGTTGAGGGAGACGCCCCTCTCGCCGGAGGGCCCGCCGCAGACGAGGCCGACGCGGAGCGGCCTCCCCTGCTCTCCCGCCTCCATCCCGCGCTGCTCGTGGTCGGACACCACCGCGCGGAGGCGGAGCGGAGCGAGGCCTCGCGCCGCGGAGGCGAACCCTAGTGGCGGGGACGAGACGAGCGCGCGGCGCGGCGCGGCGAGGGCGCGGAGGTGGCGAAGGGTCGGGGAGGAGAGCCGGGCCCGGGGCAGGGGCAGGGTCAGGGTCTGGGGACGCGACAGCAGCATGCGATGCGATGCGGTGGGAAGGGGGTGGAGGAGCGGGGCGGGCAGAGGCAGCGATCGAGCTGATGCGGCCGTCTGCCGTGGAGTTGGGTGGTGGACTGGTGGGAGCCGGCGCGGGAGTGGGAGTGCGGGAGAGCGATGTGAAGTGCGAAGGCGTGGCAGCGCCCATATCCCTTTTTGTAGCGGAGGGGGAGGAAGCGGCCGGCGCCGGCTTGTCGTCTTCCCCATCCCCTGCCTGCCGCCGATGGCGCTGCCGTCTTCAGATGTTTCTTTCGCCACCTCCATCATCCAGTCATCTATTGACAACATATCATTATTCTCAGTCTCAGGTCGTGACTCGTGAGGGCGATCAACGTCTGGTACTCTAATTTGTGTCATCCATCTAGTAGCGCAATAATGCCAAAGATGCATTTCATGATCAACGACAACTCTAGTGAGTAGTAGGAGCAAGTAATTGATACACTTGCTCACGACAAAAATTGATTTGGTTGGCCGTCTCACATTGTTGTTAATCCATGGATTTTAGTTCCGGACGGCAATTGCGTGCCGTCTTATGATCACGATGGCCTACCCGTCTCTCTCTCTCTCTCTCTCTATCTATCTATCTATCTATATATATATATATATATATATATATAAGCTTAATGACCATTTGAAAAATGATTAAGTCCACTTTTGGTCCCTTAATTATAAGGTTCATCTAATTTTAATCATCAACTACAAAACCGTCTAGTGGTGATACACCAACTGTCAAAACCGTTCACTTTTAGCATCTGGGCGCGGGCAGGGTTGTTTTGTCCTACGTGGAGCGGTTTTGACCACGCCACGCTGTCATTGACCGCCACGTAGGATGCCAACCTCCATCTCAGTGACATATGGGGCCCACTCATCACCTCCCTCTCCTTCCTCTCGCACTGCCGCCGCGGACACTTGCGTCGCGGGTGGGGCAGCTTCGACCACGGAGCTCCTAGTGCGACCGCCATCCATGGATGACGACGAGGAAGAGGAAGACGACGTGCTGCCACCGCCAGTCCGCATCCGCTTGGGCTCCCGTGTCGAGTCCGTGGACGACAGGTCGGCCGACGCCACCACTGGCGAGGGGATCGGCTTCAGGGGCGTAGGTGCTACTAGACGAGTCGACGGTGGGCGGGAGATCAAAGTAGCTAGCACCGGCGGCGGCGCCACTTGTGACGGTGGACGAGGTGGACGCGAGCCTCGGGGCCGGCGGCGTCTTGGGCAGGAACGGCGGCGGGGGCGCGTTGAGCTCGGACAGCATCCTCACGGTAGCGCCCCCACGCTGCCTCGCGGCCCGAGCGACACCGACGTCGTCCCCCGCGCAGGCATCCGGCATGAAGCCGCGTAGGGGGCGCAGGCCTTGGCTTTCCCAATGGCAAGGCGGACCGCGGCATCATGTGCTGGCAGTGCAGTGAGTACCGTGGACGTGCGAGGATCGGGAGAGGCGAGACACACCGCCTGCGGCTATGACGCGCGCGGCGGCGGCGGCGATGGAGCGGGGGCTGCCGCGGGCGAGGTGCGGTATGAAGTTGTGCGTGAGGTAGACGGGGAGGTCGGGCGCGGCGGCCGCGGCAGGCGAGGCAAGGAGCTGGAGCACGAGCGTGGAGACGTGCTGCTGGTGGGCGGCGAGCAGCGGTGGCTGAAGAGGAAAAGGAGAGGGAGAGGATGAGTGATTGACATGTGGGCCTCACATGTCACTAAAATAAAGGCGATGTCAAGCTCGCTCCACGTCGGTCACAGGCATAATTATATGTCACAGGCACAATAAACCATCATCACAATTCATAATAAATCATCATCACAAGCATAATAAACCATCATCACAAGTTACAACTAAGTCACAATAAACCACAGATGTAAATGCAAATCAGTACGGAGGTCTTTGAAACCACTGCGACAAATCCACGTGGGATGAGCCCACATGGATGCGCATGCAGGTACGAACTAGTAAACTTTACTTCAACAGTAGTGACTAATGATTGTTCATTGCTCGAGCTTCAGAAAAAAAAAACATAAAACACACCTTGAATTAGCACGTGAGATGAGCTCGCTCATTTTTCCATTCCTCCAAAAACGCAGGTTTCATCACCTTTCCTTGAAACGGTTTTTATCTCTTTCTTTATTCCAAGCGCAGCTACAGTGAAAAGCCTATAGGAACTTGGTTCCTTTGTTCTTCCTATGTTTTTTCCGTGATCCAAACAGGGCTGTAGAGAATAATATGCATGTCAAGAACTAATTTTGTAAAGAGCCAATAACAAGTAGTAGCTAATAATCCTGCATTGCATTTCATGTTGTGGCTATGGTACCCTCACAATTAACACTTAACAAGCTACACTCACTCAAAAATGATAAGTTATTTATCCAAGATGTAATACGATCAACAAGATCTCAATTTAAAATTTACAATGTTACATCACAAAGTAAGAGTTCTCAACTAATACATTTTTTTTAAATCATGAGTTCCTCCATGTCATAGTCTAAGAAGAGAAACTATCGAATATCCTATTCTAAACATCGGATAACCTGCATAGAACTTGCAGATAATCCATATCCACTAGATTTGTCAATTCCATATCATATCCCATACTTTGACAAGTTTAAGGACTAAAATGATGCACTTTGTGAGTATAGAAAGACATGGCACACTCATACAAGTTTGATGACCGGTCATATATTTTAGGCCTTGTTTAGTTTCTCCCATAAAGTTTACTCCATATCCCATCGAATATTTGGACACATGCATAGAGTATTAAATATAGACTAAAAAACAACTAATTGCACAGTTTGGGACTAATTTACAAGACGAGTCTTTTAAGCCTAATTAGTCCATGATTTGATAATGTGTTGCTACAGTAACACATGTGCTAACAACAGATTAATTAGGCTTAATAAATTCGTCTCGCGGATTACTGACGGATTATATAATTTATTTTTTTATTAGTATCCGAACACCCCATACGATACCCCCATATGACACCCTAAAACTTTACACCTTGAATTTAAACTGGGCCTTACTCTTATATTTATTTATTTGTGACAGCAGGAACTAAGTAGCTTGGGTATACTCACTAGCGTATCGTATATGTAATAAAGTTGCTGAGTTGGAATCATACACACACACACACTAAAATAGAAGTGTCGAACGAATATTATATAATTAGTAATTGACAAAACAAACAAAAAAGACTGGGAAATGAAATACTACAGTACAGTGAACATATTAGTGGGCTGGGCCGGGGGTCACTCGCTCAAGCACTGCACAAGCAGAAGCACAAACAAAGGGTCTAGTGCCAACGGATGCATGCTTGCATTGCTAGGTGATGGTAGTGATCCTGCATGATCAGATCACTGATCAGTGCGTCCTGCCTTGTTGCTCCTGCGGCAGCAATCCCGGGATGAATGGCACCCCGAACTTGGGGATGAACTGCTGGCCCTGGATGAAGGTCTCCACGGTGAACTCCTTCTGCGCCTCCTCGTAGGTGACGGTCTTGATGCCTCCCCACTTGGCGCGCTTGCTCATGTCGGCGCCGGCGCCGCGGTTGTCCACCTCCGCGTAGAAGAGCGTCTCGAGCCCAAAGTCGCCGTTCCACTCGAGCCATCCCTTGGGGTCGATGAACCCTCCGATGTCGTTCTGGATGTAGAGCGTCCGGGAGTACTCCTTCCAGGGGCGGGCCAGGTAGGTGGGGATCTTCCCGCCGGCGTCCGCCTTGAAGTCCTGGTGCGGCTCGATGGTGCAGTTGTGCAGCACGGTGCCGCCGACGGAGCGCTTGTCCCGCCGCCCCTGCGCCGTGATGATGTTGGCCTGGTTCGCCATGGGCTTCCGCGGCTGGATGAGGCAGTTCTGCAGCACCACCTGGGAGTTGCCGAAGATGAAGTCGATTGTGCCGGTGACACGGCAGTCGCGGAAGAACTGCCGCTGCGCGTGCGTGTACAGCGTGTCCTGGTAGCCGTCGAAGGTGCACTGGTAGAAGACCGCCTGGTCGCTCTGCACGCGCAGCGCCACGGCCTGGTGGTTCTCGGCGCCCGCCGTGTTCTCCACCCGGATGTCCCGCATGAAGAAGCCGTTGCCGATGGCCTCCATTGTGGCCGTGTCCTTGGTGGTCAGGTTCATCTTGAAGTTCTTGTTCCCCGTGATGATGGTCTTCTCGGCGCCGTCGCCGATGAAGGCCACGTTCGTCTGGGGCCGCGCCACGGACACGTACTCCTTGTACGTGCCGGCCTTCACGTACACCACGTACAGGGACGGGTTCTTGGGCGGCACCTTGGCCAGCGCCTCCTTGATCGTCTTCACGTCGCCGCTGCCGTCCGCCGCCACCGTCACGTTGGGCTTGAAGTCCGGCGACCCGGCGGGGCTGGCGGCGGCCAGGAGCCGCTGCCTGCCGGGGTCGGCCTCCGACACCCAGCTGGGCGTGACCTCGCCGTCGCCTCCCAGCAGGCGGCGGCCGATGCTGAGCCCGCCCAGCGTGTCGGAGAACTGGTCCACGACGGCCAGGATGTCCTCCGTCAGCTCCTGCGACGCGTTGAGCGCGTTCTTCATCTTGGCGGAGGCCTCGGTGGAGGTGGCGTTCATGAAGCCGTCGAGGCAGGTGTCCTGGTACGTGAGCGCGGCGCTGAGCCACGTCTTGAGGTCGTCCACGGCCTTCTTGAAGTTGGTCATCTCGAAGCCGCCCAGCTTGTCGAAGGAGGACTTGAGGTCGTCGATGGCGTACTCCAGCAGCTCATTGCAGTCCTTGAGCGCGCCCGACGTGCGCTGGTCGTTCTTGAGCTCGTTCAGCGTCGCCGACTCGCTGATGGCCTTGTGGATCTTGTCGGAGGTGACGCCGAAGATGACCTTGGCCAGGTCCGACGGCGAGCTGGCGTTGCCGGCCGCCTTGGACAGCTCCGCCTCGCACGTCTGCTTGTAGTCCGTCGGCTGGCAGAAGGCCTTCACCGACTTGACGGACATGGACAGGTTCTCATCGCCCTCGCCCTTGCTGGAGTTGCCCTTGAAGGACACCACGCACACGGCGGCGACCACCGCCACAACCAGGACGGTCGACGCGCCGATGATAGCACCTTTGCTCATTTTGATGTAATTTGATTGGACGATGGAATGAAGAAGAAACAAACAAACTAATTTAATTAAAGGTGCATGTGCATGTGTATGCGTGGATCGATCGATCGAGCTAGTAACTGGGGAAGGGAGGGATGGCCGCGACCTCTTATAGTTATAGCCAGCGAGGCGAAGACCATGGCTGGCCGGCCGTTGATTGGTTCCATGCATGCGGATACGGGAGGAGACGACGACCAAGGCGCCGAGGTGAACGCACAGCCTCACGACACAATTGACGGTCCTTGCATTGCATATGCCAAGCAGCGTCAAACCACACAATCATTTCGTTTCAAAAAAAAAAAAGAAAAAAGCGTCGTCAAACCACCATGCAATAGCATGATGATTATATAATACTCCTATATATACGTTTTCATCCTCATGCAAGTATATATTATGTCCTTTGGTAGACGCTAGCTGCACAGCCAATCTATATATAGTACACTGTTTGGTATACGGCCTAATAAGTAAATGCACACGCTCGGACACGCCGCAATGTAATCCTAAGGCTGTCGACAGGAGACCCGCTGTGGAACCCAAATTTAAAATGAGGTCTTCGACATAATATTTATAGTCTTCAATATAGTATCTATATAGAAGACTTATTTTATATGTTAGGAGAGGTATAACCCAAATTTGAGTATCTTCTCTCTCTGGAGACTTATTTGTAGAAAGAGTTGTTTTTGGGTCTTATTGTTGGAGAAAATCAAAAATAAGTATTGAACTATTTGCCTGTAGCGCTACCCAAAGGACAAATGAGTCTTGTATTTTGAGTCGCGATTGTTGGAGACAGTCTAAGCACACGTGTTGTGCCACTATGACTCTCTACACAAAACATTAGCCTTTTGGTGTCACCAGTGTCCATCTTCTCTGCTCTTCACAGAAATGGATGAGGATGACAATGCTGAGAAATCCATCTATCACTCACTCAGTGAATGCACGAGCATACAAATAGAACACAAGTTAGGGATAAGTGAGAAGCTATTTCTTTCATCATTGTTGAGTATAAAATAGTACTTTCTCCATTCTAAAATTATAAGTCGTTCTAGCTTTTGATACGTATCTAGATATTATGTTTAGGTATATAGTAAAAGCTATGTACGTTGAAAAGTCAGAATGACTTAAAATTCGGAATGGAAGAGTACAATAATGTTTTTTTGTCCATGGCTCTACATTTATAAGGTGGGGAGATAGGTGGCATGATGCTTTACTAACGCTTGTCCACTATTTTGTTTGGCTCCCATATGTTTTCATGTGATTCGTAGAATCGAGAATGAATCATATAGGAATTTCATACGAATCAGTCTATTTTCACAGAGACAACGCAAGAAACATAAAAAAAAAATTCTCGCATTCCAAGTTTCCAACCGGTGCCTATATATTTGACCAGGCAGATTACATTGATTCATCCATATTAAATATTTCGTAAAGCAGATCAGGGTGAATCACCCGCATTAAATACTTCACAACAGAAAAATAAGAAAGTTTTTTGGTGTAACTGGACCGAGGAATGAAAAAAAAAACGATTTACTTGAGCCTAGCCTAAGGAGGCTTGGAGTGATTAAATCATAATAAATAATTTCCTTTTTACTCCTCTCGACTATTCTCGAAGTTTGGCTTTCCTCATCTATCTATAAATAAAAATGGGATGAAGAGTAACAAATGTGGCAAATGGTCTCCAAATTAGGGAGATCCGTACAAAGTGATCAAAGTCATGTTCCAAAACTATACTTGACAAACCATAACGATAACCTCCATTTTGTTGGTTCAGATGGGTTTTGTTAGGGCAAGCATATTCAGTTAAATTTGTCTGCAAGCTTAAACAACAAGAAAGTAATATTACCAACTAGATCATAAATACTTAATTGTGCTAAAAAATCACGGAATCGTTATTTTGAACAAATTGATGTGCTCCACATCAAATGATAAAAATACTTTCGAGGATGGAATATGTGCCTTCTATATGTCGTTATTTAAACCAATATAGCATATGTATGACAGTCGTAACAAAAAGACCACATTTGTGTTGAATTGAGATTTTTTTTCTTTTGTGTTGAGGTGATTCATGATAACGTCACATCATAAGTACTTTCATGTTGTAACATCCGGGCGCTCACCTAGTTATAAAGTACTTCATCCCTTCCTAATTATGAGTTGTTTTAGCTTTTCTAGATACGTAACTTTTACTTTGTGTCTAAACATAATGTATATCGAGGTACCTAACAAAAACTTACCTAGAAACTTGGAATAGAGGGAGTAACTAATTTCTCATAGCTACTCCTTTCGTCTTAAAAAGAATGAAAGTCTTCTTTACGAGGAATCAAACAATTTTAAATTTAATTAGCTTATAAAAAATAGCACCAACATTTATACCTTTATAAATTCTCATCTTCAGTAGCAGAGTAGGTCTCCACTCTCCAGCACCAGCATTGCAGAATGAAGACACCGCAGAGGCGCAGACTATGGGCCGTGCTTTCACGGGAAACGGGTCCATCAAGGCTGGAAGTATGGGCCGCGCGTTACGGCTTAAAGAGACTGGGCCCATGACTGTTTCTGCCGTCCAGTCCACTCAGCGAGAGAGATTGAGAGAAGCCATGAGAGCAACATTTGGCAGGTCATACGTCATCCTCCTCTGCCTGGTCCTGGTGCCTGCTCTGCTGCCCCTCATCGATCAGCTTTGAAAATTGAGTTGAAGCAGAAGAAGAGAGAGCAACCTTGGTCGCAGAGCCTCCTTGTCCCTGTGCCGGCACCTGCTTAGAACTATCTATCGCCGGCTAAAATTGCCGTCCCACTCTTACCATTTTCATTTTGACAAGATCAACAGAGCCTCCTTGTCCCTGTGCCTGTCCCTGCATAGAGAGAGACTCCGTACGTAATCGTCACGCACGCGCTTAGGCTTCCTTTTCGCTTCGTCTTCGTCTTCGTCTTGGTGTGCTTGGACGGACTTGATCATCCTCCGACGATTCGTCGCTACGATGACTCGATCCACCCCACCACCACCACCACCCAAAGCAGCCAATTCCGAGTCCACGCGCGCTTGCTTCAGCCATGGCCATGGCGATGCCCGTCGTGCGCATCGCCCAAACCTTCATCTTCCTTGCGCTCCTCGCGCAACCGTCTCGGCACAGCTGGCGGCGCCGGCGCCGGCGCCAGACGCCGGCTGCAACAGCATCTTCCTCAGCTACACGCTGCAGGGCCGCGACCAGATCAGGCCTCACGTCGCCGAGCGGAACTCCCAGCCCTACTCCTTCCGCGCCAGCGCCACCGTCGTCAACTCCGGCACCCGCCCGCTCCGCTCCTGGGCGCTGCGGATCACGTTCGTGCACGGCGAGATCCTCGTCCGCGTCGACGGCGCCGTGCTCACCTCGGGCGCCGACCTGCCCTACAACACCACGGCGGGGGACGCCGGCAGGCCCACGTCCTTCACAGGGTACCCGCAGACGGACCTCCTCACCCCGATCGCCACGGCCGGGGACCCCGCCAAGACACAGGCCACGGTCAACCTCGTCGGCACGCTCTTCGCCGGGCCCAAGCCCTACGACCCGCTCCCATCCTTTCTCTCGCTCGCCGACCCCTCCTACACCTGCCCGCCGGCCACCAACGCCACGTCGCCGACGAGCCTCACCACCTGCTGCGTGCTCACGCCCGCAGCGGCGGCGGCCGGGGCCGACGACGACAGCGCCACCGATCCGGCGAGAAACTTCCTCCCGCGCCGCACCGGCGACCTGGTCATCACCTACGACGTGCTCCAGTCGCACGAGACCACCTACCTGGCGCTCGTCACGCTGGAGAACGACGCGCCGCTAGGCCGCCTCGACGGCTGGCAGCTGTCGTGGCGGTGGCAGCGCGGGGAATTCATCAGCACCATGCGAGGCGCCTACCCGCGGGAGGTCGACACCGCCGGCTGCCTCTACGGTCCCCAGGGCCAGTACTACAAGGACCTCGACTTCTCCAAGGTGCTCAACTGCGACCGCACGCCCGTCGTCCACGACCTGCCGCCGTCGCGGGCCAACGACGACGACATCGGCCGGATCAACCACTGCTGCCGGAACGGCACCATCCTGCCCAAGTCCATGGACGTCGCGCAGTCCAAGTCGGCGTTCCAGATGGAGGTCTACAAGATGCCGCCCGACCTCAACAGGACCAAGCTCTACCCGCCGACAGGATTCAACGTCACCGGCTCGTCGCCGCTCAACCCGGAGTACGCGTGCGAGCCGCCCATCCCGGTGAGCCCGTCGGAGTACCCGGACCCCAGCGGGCTCGCGTCGACCACGGTGGCCGTGGCGACGTGGCAGGTGGTGTGCAACATCACCACGTCGACCAAGAAGCCGCCCAGGTGCTGCGTGTCCTTCTCCGCCTTCTACAACGAGTCGGTGGTCCCCTGCCGGACGTGCGCGTGCGGCTGCCCCTCGTCCGCGACCCAACCGGCCGTGTCGGCGACCTGCAGCACCACGGCGCCGGCGATGCTGCTGCCGCCGCAGGCGCTGCTCATGCCGTTCGACCGGCGGGCCAGTGAAGCGCTTGATTGGGCGGACCAGAAGCACCTCGGCGTGCCCAACCCCATGCCCTTGTAGGAAATCAAGATCACAATCACAGCACAATATCGTTAATTGGCTAGCCTAGACAAGGATTTGCGCTCAAGAACACGAAATGGACATGAACTGGCAACTGTCGACAGGGAGTGACAGTGCCCTTTTTCACTGATTGAGGTCTGCAATACAATCACGATTACAAGTAAACTGAAGCGATAACTCACACTTCGAACTCTAGGCTACTTATACCAGTAGTCATTACACACACTTGTTTAGAATAAAACTGCTAAACACAAGATACAAGTGACCAACAATGCAACTGCACTGTCAGTGCACGAACGTGGGCGCGCTCACCGCGCCGGCTCCAGTAACCGTTCCCGCTGCATCTTGAATTCAAACACGCTGCTTCTCCCGCTTCACCAGCATCACGAGCAGCCTCAAAGA